GGAGGGGAAAAAAAGTCTCATTTGTGGGAACTCAAATGTGTTCCTTCATTATTATGTCAGATCTGTAGATTTAAATGCATACATCAGTGTTTAATGCTCAGCCATTAGCCTGTTTCCTGTGCTTAAGGGGATCTGATCCATCTGACATTTCATGGCCATTTGTTAACACTCAGGTGGAGTTTGTAAACTGGCTTTAAAAGTCACTGCCAAATAGGCCTTTAGCCCCCCCAGCTGGAGTTACTGGTGGAGCCAGCGAAATGAAGCAGACTGCATTTCTCAGTCTCCTGCAGGTACAGCATAGTTGTAATGTTTCTTATTTTATTTTCAGCAACGAGTGCCAGTAATCACAAAGCAAATACAGAGGCTGAAGAATTTGGTTTGTAGATTTTGTAAAAATGTGTGAATGTATTCACTTCCAATCCCCAAACCAATATTTAGTATTTGTCCTGATACAAACTGGCACAGTGAAAAGGTGACCTTAAAGTAGAGGATTCTGGGGGTGGGGGAAATGTGTGTGTGTGTCTGTATGTGTGTGTGAATGTGAGAGAGTGGCCATGTAACTGGAGGCACACTTGTTCAGTTCCTGTGAACACACAAACTCCACAATGAGAGATGCAGGCTCTAGGTCTGCCCAGACCAGGACACCCCTGTCACCTGGGAGCCAGGGTGCCCGGTGGGTCTCCTGGAGGAGCAGGTGTCGGTGGGACCAGGGGAACTGGATTCAGTTCCCGCATCACAGAATTTCCTTCTGAGATCGCACGAGTCTAGGTAATTGCAGGAGGCTGTAACCCAGGCATTCGGTCTGTGCACTCACTGTGTGCTCAGGCACAGCTGCTGGCTGACCTCTGACACTGCGTGTCCGTCGCTCAGGGAGGTCACCCCTGAAAGGCGGTGCGGTTTTGTCAGGTTCCAGCCGTGATCGTTGCAACATCAGAGACAAGGTACAGTGCAGAGAGCTCACCTGGACAATGCAAAATCCTATCCATAGGGAGACCCCATCTCTGAAATACACCTGCCTGGGGCCCCCTTCCAGATGCCTGGATGCGGCAGCAGGTGTGGGGGCTGGAGGATGGAGGGATTCCATTCATCCCAGGGCAGTGTTCAGAATAGTCACTCCGCTAGCAACAAGCTGGCAAAGCACACTTTTGTTCTGTCATACAAATGTGTTGTTGGTCTACAACACATACTAAGGCATCTGTCAATCGTAAAGGAGATTGACCCTGAGTATTCACTGGGAAAGACTGACGCTGAAGCTACTGCTCCAATACTTTGGCCACCTGATGTGAAGGAGCTGACTCATTGGAAAAGATCTTGATGCTGGGAAGTACTGAGGGCGGGAGGAGAAGGGGGTGACAGAAGATGAGATGGTTGGACCGCATCACTGACTCAATGTTTGAGCAAGCTCAGAGAGATAGTGAAGTACAGGAAAGCCTCGTGCGGTGCAGTCCATGGGGTTGCAACGAGTTGGACGTGACTTAGTGACTGAAAAACCACAATGGCATCTGTGCGTAGAATTTGGACAGTAACCTTCCAGAACTGCTTCCTGGAGAGGCAGGGCCTGTAGAGGCCCTGCCGTGGTGGGATAGACACGTCACACCCAGGAAGATCCAGTTCCCCTGGCCCATGTGCTAGCCCAAGCCAACTGATATCAGGGCCCTGGCTGGTGGCTTCTCTGTGCTTCTGACCGTGAGCGGGGCTCCCACAGGGGGCATGGCTGCCGTCCACCATGTCCAGTTCCCGCTCATGATGAGTTTGCAGGAACCCCTGGACCTAGGAGGAAGCCGAGAATCCCCTCTGGGTCCTTTTTTCTCCTTGGGTTTGACTCACGGCCTCCCCAGCAGGACTTCTCCTGACAGTGACCCGGCCTCTACTCTGTGTTTTAGCAGAATTTATTCCATGAATTTTATTCCACCTAATTCAGTTTTAGAGAAAGATTGTTAAAAGCAGTTCTCTCTTTTGTTTGGGACATCTAACGGAAATATAGTAAATAAAAACAATAATACCACTGTCATTACACCTGAAGTGGCATAAACTTAAAGACCAGTGATCTTATGGCTTAAGGCACAGAGGAGTCATTCTGCAGATGAGGCGAAACCTTCAGACCCTTGTGACCCACTCACACATATGGAATCTCAGTCATTCTGGAATTTCATGGAATTCCCATTCCATCATGCAGTTCATCTTAGCTGGCCAATGAATGATGTTTTCCACGGTTCAGTGTGTGAGACAGAGTCACTTGTCCAGAACTGAAAACAGCCACCCCGGCATGGAATTCCTGGTTCTGCTCCTGACTCTCAAGAACAATTTTAAGCAGTTGGAGAATTACCCATTCCATAGTAATGCTTGTCCTCAGCAGGGAGAAAATGGAGAATTAAAATGTAAAGTTCTAGCAATGTGGAAATAATAGAATTTGTAATTCATACTTAAACTAAAAGAAAATCCATCCAGTCTTTTAGGATATATCTCTCTGTCAGTCAACCCATCCGTTGAATTAAAAATCTCGTGCAGTTACAGTTTTACAATATTCTACCTAATTCACTTGCTCCTTTCTAGCCAGAGCTCTCAGGTTCTGATTTGTGGCAGATTATTAAATTCACAAGTTGGATTGAAGTAAAAATAAAATAATCTACATGCTCTTCACTCTGAGATTTTCTGTCCACACTTTGATGGACATTTGACACATTTGTCAAGAAATCCAGCCTCCTAACCTAGGTGCAATGATACTGGCTGCAGAATTGCCTATAAAAACATTTAGTGATCTTGTTTAAGCTGAAGCCGAATGCTAATGAAAAAGAAACAAGCAGACACAAAACCCGGAGGCCTGGCATCCCAGTGTCAGGTCTCCCAGCTAATCACATCACTTTACTTAATTTAGGTGATACTTTCTCTTGAAACCTGCAGGGCTGCCCACATGCCTCATCCCAGTTCTCTCTCCCTCCCTCTTTTTCAGTTAATAGCATTTCCTGTCCTTTCTGTGCAGCTGACTGTGCTCAATGGAGGGCTTCCCAGGTGGTGCTAGTGGTAAAGAACCTGCCTGCCATGTAGGAGACTAGAGACATGGGTTCCATCCCTGGATTGGGAGATCCCCTGGAGGAGGGCATGGCACTCACTCCAGTATTGCTGCCTGGAGAACCCCATGGGCAGAGGACCTGGTGGACTGTAGTCCATGGGGTTGCAAACAAATGACTAGAGCAACTTAGCACGCATGCGCCAGTGCTCATTGGAATAGTAACAGCTAAATGCAGCCAAAACTGGGGAAGTTGCGCAACATAGAGCGTGAAATGTGTACGGCTGTAACCTAAAAGGCTAAAATGGGTGCCCTTCCATACATACCGAGGAAACCAGATCTGAAAGAGACACGTGCACCCCAGTGTTCATCGCAGTACTGTTTATAATAGCCAGGACATGGAAGCAACCTAGATGCCCATCAGCAGACGAATGGATGAGGAAGCTGTGGTACATATACACCATGGAATATTACTCAGCCATTAAAAAGAATTCATTTGAATCAGTTCTAATGAGATGGATGAACCTGTAGCCCATTATACAGAGCGAAGTAAGCCAGAAAGATAAAGACCATTACAGTATACTAACACATATATATGGAATTTAGAAAGATGGTTACAATAACCCTATATGCAAAACAGAAAAAGAGACTCAGATGTATAGAACAGACTTGTGGACTCTGGGAGAAGGTGAGGGTGGGATGTTTCAAGAGAACAGCATCGAAACATGTATATCTAGGGTGAAACAGATCACCAGCCCAGGTTGGGTGCATGAGACAAGTGCTCGGGCCTGGTGCACTGGGGAGACCCAGAGGGATCGGGTGGAGAGGGAGGTGGGAGGGGGGACCGGGTTGGGGAATACATGTAAATCCATGGCTAATTCATTTCAATGTATGACAAAAACCACTGCAATGCTGTAAAGTAATTAGCCTCCAACTAATAAAAATAAATGGAAAAAATAAATAAATAAATAAAATGGGTGCCCTTCTGGAAAAGGAATAGTTTAGTCCCATACCTCCATAATCGTCATTTTAACTGAGACTTTAAAAGTAAATCAAGGTTCTCAATACAGGGACTCGACGCCTTGATCTGGCTAACAGTGTTAGCCTTTAGGCCTTCAGTGTTGCCTGTCTGGGTGTCTGATGCCCGGTTTGGCTACATTTCCCCTCCCCACTCCTCACCTCTTTAAGATGAAACTCCCTGGGATGCTTTCTGTGTCAGACCTCTTATGACTGCCTTACTCCTCATTGAATCCCCAGCCCCAAAGACACTGCTGGACGTTTCCTGAAATTGGACTTATTTTATGACACCAGTCCTTCCTCTAGAATTTCATAAATAGTTCAGGAATCTAATCTCTCACTGGAAATCCTTCCATCCTTTTCTTCACTACACATGTTCAATAGGGTTACAGAATTTGTATTAAGTGTCTCCTCCTTATTCCAAGTGTCTCTTCCTTTCTTTTGACTTTTATTTACCAGATAAATACCATAAAATATGAATGAAAAATAAGTAGAAGAAATAAATGGAGAAACCATAACTAAGGAATACCCTTTAGCAATTTTATATTTGAGATATTACTTATGTTCCCACAATTTGAGAAAAATTAAAAAGCTGAAAGGGAAAATGTATCAAATATATATATTATACATATATTTATATATATAAGTGGAAAGTTTTTCAATACCATTTGCATTCAAGGCTGTCAGTCATTTGACAATAAAGATAAGCAAATTATGAATGTGTTACTTCTATAATTTTTGATGGATGTATGTAGTCCATTGACAATGTTGTGTTAATCTCTTCCCTACGGCAGAGTGACTCAGCCACACATGATACACAGTCTGTTTCACCTTCTTTTCCTTTCTGGTGTATTCCAGGCTGTTGCATTTAGCTCCCTGTGCTAGGCAGTAGGACCCTGTTGTTTGTCATGAATGTGGTGCTTTTACAGAAGACGCACTCTCCAGCATGTTTTTGTTGGTTTTGCTCATTTTCCAGCTGGCCACTGTGGCTCCCCGGATCCCATCGTGAATGGTCACATCAGCGGCGACGGCTTCAGTTACAGGGACACAGTGGTGTATCAGTGCAACCCCGGCTTCCGGCTCGTGGGGACTTCCGTCCGGATATGCTTGCAAGACCACAAGTGGTCCGGACATACCCCAGTCTGTGTCCGTAAGTACCTTCTGTGGACTAATTCGGGCGGTGTTTCCCTTAGGGCTGTTTTCCTTTTGTCGTTAAGTTGTAGTGCAGACATGTTTGATCTCAGAGGAGAAGATGGAGAGCTGGTGGGAGAGAGGGAACACGGGCACTCCTCTGCTTCTGTCTCTGGTCCTCCTCCCATCCCATGTTTCCCCAGCCCGCCTCCAGCCTCCCATCCACATTGCGTTTGCTCACCAGCTCGTCTCAGATGGGTCCCAGGATGAGGATGTCAGGCATTTATTCCCCTAGGCGTCATCACAGGACGACCAGGTGGACACAACCTCCGACTAGTGGAGGGCAGAGCTGCTGAGCCTGAGTCTGCAGGTCAACTTCGCAGGTGCCCCCCGTGCCCACCCCCAGTCTTCTGAGTTGTTTTGTGTTTCTGTCGTTGCTTCATCAAGAGCACAGACAGCTTTGTACTCAGACCTTCCTTTCCTAGAAGTTGAAACTGTATGTAACAATTGTCCTCAAACTTTCTAACTTCAAAGGCAAATTCCAGCTATTTTTAGAAGACATTTACCTCTATTGCAAATTTCCTTTTAAACCAATTTTTCCTAATATGTTCTCTATTTTCCTAAACAAAGGGAGCGTTGATATAAGTTTACGACAATGATGGATCTTTAATACTGTGGTAAATGTACAAAGTCAAGGGTGAAAGTTTTACTTAGAAGGGAAAATGGTTGACAAGATAAGTGAGAAGAACACCGGTTTTACCGCTGTAATGTGTTTCTTTTGAAAGGGCCAGTCAAGAGTATCTTCATGATTTGTGTTACTGTGTTTGTGGGCATCACAGGATGACAGTTGACTGCATAAATGGGGGATGTTGAAGAAAATAGAATTTGAGCATGCCCTCATTTTTGCTAATTTCATGATGTTTAGATTGATTATGGAATAATTTATACATACATAATTTAAATTTTCAGCTAAATTCCTTTAATATCTCAAAATGAGAATTCCACTTAATTAGCTGATGTTTTCTAAGGGAAAAATATTCAAAACTCATGATTAACCAAAAAAAATTTTGCATCTTGTTTTTCATTGTTTTATTTCAAAGTTACTTGATATTCCATCATGATGTAAATAAGAAATAATAATTGTGATTATGAACAAAGGCAGATGCTGGTTATTTTCCACAATTATTTATAATAAAAACCTGTGGGTTCAACCCACGACTCTCCTGATATCCACTTCCAAATATAGATACAATCTGTGACATATCTGATCTGCTGTCAACCCTCTAATTCACACGTTTAACACATATGAATATGCATGATGAAGAATTCCAGGTGAGGGTGATGACTAGTTCATCTTCTGACCACCATGTGGGCCTGTCTTCCTCCATAGCCATCACCTGTGGACACCCAGGGAACCCCGCCCATGGGTTGACCAACGGCAGCGAGTTCAACCTGAACGATGTGGTGAACTTCACCTGCAGCCCCGGCTACCTGCTGCAGGGTGCGTCTCGAGCCCAGTGTCGGAGCAATGGCCAGTGGAGCAGCCCCCTGCCCACCTGCCGAGGTAGGAGAGTCCCCAATCAGCAGGGACAATCACACACCAGGGGGCCTATCTGCCTGCTTGGAGGGCTTCTGCACATGCTTTCCATGTGGTGGGATAAACATTTCTGAGGATGATGAGCAAATCTCTCCATGGTCTCTGGTCTTTGGCCAGATATTCAGTCACAGAACCCTGGGACTTCATGCTTCAAAGACTTCTTCCATTTATCCTTCTCCTCATTTAGGCACTCATTTATCTCTACCACATATATTCCACACCTTTGGTCCTTCTGCTTCTAGACTTAGGGATGCACTTAAGAAGTTCTAACTGCTTTTAGATCTCAAGTTTTAGATCTCAGGGCTTCCCTGATAGCTCAGTTGGTAAAGAATCCACCTGCAATGTGGGAGACCTGGGTTCGACCCCTGAATTGGAAAGATCCCTGGGGAAGAGAATGGCTACTCATTCAGTATTCTGGCCTGGAGAATTCCATGGACTATACAGTCCAAAGAGTTGATTGCAAAGAGTTGGACACAACTGAGAGACTTTCACACTCACACTTAGATCTCAAGTTTTGGAAATTTGCTTCTTTAAAAATTGTCACACAGATTTGGATTAACACCTAAATTTCCAAGGAAATGCTGCTCTGTAGTTTTTTGAGTTTTTAAGAGTTTGGAGAACTTGGATACTGACAGGTTCATCTTGTAGCTTTTAATTCATGCTGTTTAAGGTTTTGGTCCAATTACTTTCCATTAAAACATCTCTCTTATTGAAGGTGAACATTCTTCCGTGTGAAGGTGAAGTGTTATTTCTGTTTGTTTTTGGTAGTAACGGTATTAAAGCCAGACACTTACAAAGGTCCCATGCTCTGACAATCACCCACCTTCCCACTGGGTACCCAAGGGAGCTCTATTCAAAAGCAACAATAGCAGGGTGGGAATTCAAGCTGTGCTTCAAAAGGCAGTTACTTGAAATTTGGCTGCCTACCTGTTCAGACTGGCACACGTCTATATCAGAGTGCTTGGCTGCAGCTCAAAAACAGAGTAATGCCACCTCATTCCACTTCCCTCTAAAACTCCCTTTTCAACATGAGAAAGTCTTGCCATGAAGAGCAGACCCCAGGTTCCCTGTTCTCACTGTCCGCAGAAGGCAAGCTTCAGGTGTGTCCTGTTGGGGGAGGAGAAGTGAAGTGTTAGTCACTCAGTCGTGTCTGACTCTCTGCGACCCCACAGACTGTAGCCCACCAGGCTCCTCTGTCCATGGGATTCTCCAGGAAAGAATACTGGAGTGAATTGCCATTCCCTTCTCCAGAGGATCTTCCTGACCCAGGGATTGAACCTGGGTCTCCTGCATTGGAAGGAGATTCTTTATTGTTTGAGCTACAGGGAAGGAAAGGGTCGAGTATCTCACGGAGATGCCCCTGGTTTCTCGTCCCAAAGCCCGCGCTGGTCTCCTGACAATGCGGGCATCTGGTCAGCCTGGACCTTGGCAGGTTCACCTTGTGGATTCCATGTTATCGTTAAATCGTATTAGTCAGGGACAGTGATTGGGACGAATGGAGTTGGGGGATGTCTGGCACGAGTGAGCTGGCACAGCTAGTTGGCGTCTACGTGTGTCTGGCCCCTCCCCTTCAGCAGGGCACCCCAGCAGCCCCTAGTGCTTGCTGAGCATGGTGTGTGCATGGCTGTGACAGCCACGGTGACTCACTCACCCCTCTCACAGGGAAACACGGGGCCCCCGTGTCTGCCCCGAGCCCTGGGCACTTGGACAACAGTGGAGAGACTGGGCTGTGGTATCCGCCACTTGTCCCAGCAGCTTCAGAGACTGGCTAAAGATTCAGTTCAGTCACTTAGTCATGTCTGACTCTTTGCAGCAGGTGGCCAAAGTATTGGAGCTTCAGCTTCAGCATCAGTCCTTCCAATGAATATTCAGGACTGATTTCCTTTAGGATTGACTGGTTTGATCTCCTTGCAGTCCAAGAGACTCTCAAGAATCTTCTCCAGCACCACAGTTCAGAAGCATCAATTCTTTGGTGCTCAGCTTTCTTTGTGTCCATCTCTTACATCCATACATGACCACTGGAAAAACCATAGCTCTGACTAGACAGACCTAGGTGAAGGTTAAAAAGCTTTAATCAAACTGTTTTCTCTATCCACTATGACAGGGAAAGATAGCTCAACAGTAAGAATGATTAAAAATGAAGGCCCATAAATTTGGGTCCAGTTAATGTTCATGGAGGTTACAGCATAGGCCATAAGGCATAAGGCCATAAGGCATAAGGCCTTTGATGTCTTAGGCATGTAGGGACTTCTAGATCCATCCCTCCAGAACCCTTATCCTCAACCTAACATTTACTAAGTACCTACTATGTTCTGAATGCCATGCCATATACTGTCAATACAGAGCTAGCTGAAATAATTCATACATTTATGCAGATAATAATTCAGAGATCAGGGCTGGTTAATTAGGGAGGAAGGTCCGCAGCTGCTGAGATTGCCCCCTGGACACAGGACATTCTGGCTGAAGGAAAGATGGAGTAAGTTCAAATAGCGGGCTTTTAATTATCAAAATTTCTCTTCTGTACCTCACTCTCCTTTGTCATTGTTTAGTCACTAAGTCACGTCTATACTCCTGTACAGACTCCATGGACTGTGCCTGCCAGGCTCCTCTGTCCACGGGATTTCCCAGGCAAGAATATCGGAGTGTGCCATTTCCTTCTCCATCATTTTCATCCAACCTATGCCAAAGCAATGGAGGAGAAATCAAATGCCTGTCGTTTAACAATAGTTCTGGGTGTTTAGGGCTTCCCCTGTGGCTCAACTGGTAAAGAATCCACCTGCAATGCAGGAGACCCTGGTTTGATTCCTGGATCAGGAAGATCCACTGGAGAAGGGATAGGCTACCCACTCCAGTATTTTTGGGCTTCCCTTGTGGCTCAGCTGGTAAAGAATCCACTTGCAATGTGGGAGACCTGGGTTCAGTTCCTGGGTTGGGAATATCCCCTGGAGGAGAGAAAGGCTGCCCACTCCAGTATTCTGGCCTGGAGAATTCCGTGGACTGTATAGTCCATGGGGTCACAAAGAGTCGGGCACGACTGAGCAACTTTCACTTTCACTTGGTGTTTCACCGTAGGTGCTGGTCCTTTAACAGTCTGTGGCTCAGTGTGAAGGAGGCCTGGGTGCACTTTAATGACTTCAGCATTAATTTTGACTTGTCTTTTCTTCCTGCCTTTTGTTGAAAAATTGGAAAAGACTTATTTAATAGATTTTATTTTTTTGGAGCAGTTTTCGGTTCATAGCAAGATTGAGCCGAAGATGCAGAGGTTCCCCAGTACCCCTTGCCCCCACAGTGCACTAATTATCAACATCCCTGCAAGATGACACCTTTATTAGCGCTGATGGTCCTACACGGCACACGTTGGCTGTGCTGGGTCTTCGCTGCGGCTCGGGTTTTTCTCTAGTTGTACCAGGCGATGGCGGCTCTCTAGTTGCACTGCTCAGGATTCTCATTGTGGTGCCTGTCTTATCACAGAGCATTGGCTCTAGGGCATGAGGGCAAGCTCGAAGGCTTAGTTGCCCCTCAGCATGTCATCTCAGACCAGGGATTAAACGTGCCCCCTGCTTTGCAAAGCAGATTCTTAACCACTGGACCACAAGGGAAACCCAGGCTTTCAGTTTTAACATAGGACCTATGGGTTTGGACAGGTGTATGATGCCATGTGGCTTCCCAGGTGGCATTGGTGGTAAAGAACCTGCCTGCCAATGCAGGAGACATTAGAGACTTGGGTTTGATCCCTGGGTTGGCAAGATCCCCTGGAGGAGAGTATGGAACCCACTCCAATATTCTTGCATAGAGAACTCCTGAACAGAGGAACCTGGTGGGCTACAGTCCATGGGGTCACAAAGGGTGGGACATGACTGAGGCAACTTAGCAGGCACACATGAGGACATGTAGCTGTCATTGCTATACCTGCCAAGTGTTTTCACAGCCCTAACATTTCCTTGTTCAGCCTCCTCAGCCTTCCTTCTTCCCCTCAGCACCTGGCAAGCCCTGATCTTTTTATCATATCCCTAGTTTTGCTTTTTCTAGAAAGTTAAGTTGCAACCACAATATGTAACCATTTCAGATCTAAATTTTCATTTAGTGTATGCATTTAAGTTTCCTCTGTGCCTTTTAATGGCTTGATAGTATGTTTTTAAGGATGAGTAAAATCCTCTGTCTGGAAGGATCACAGTCTATCTGGAGATTCACCTCCTGAGAGACATCTTGGTTGTTTCCAAGCTCTAGCAACTGTAGATAAACCTGCTGTAATCATTCCCATGTGGGATTCTGTATGGACAGAAGTTTTTAACTCCCTTGGGTAAATATTAAGAAGCAGGATTTCAGGATTGTATGGTAAGAGCTATGTTTAATTTGGTAAGAAACCACCAAACTGTCTTCATAACTGGCTGCACAGTCTGATCCCCAGCAGCAATGATGAGAGTTTCTGCTTTCCCCATCCAGATTGGCATATGCAGTTGTCTGTGTTCTGAACGCTGGCCATTCTGATGGGTGTGCAGTAGCATCTCTGGTTGTTTAATTTGCATCTCCCTGAGGACATATGACCTGTAGCATCTTTCCTTGTGCTCATTTGCCATCTGTAAGTCTTCTCTGCTGTGGGGTCAGTTACGGTCTGTGGCTCATTTTTCAGTTGGGTTGTTTTCCATTGTTGAGTTTTAAGAGTTCTTTTTCAGTTTTCTTTTATTAGCTGTGTCATTTCTAATATAGTCTCTTATCCCGTGGCTTATCTTCTTATTCTCTTGACCCTACCTTTGGAAGAGCAGACCTTTAAAGTGAGTACTTAATTTTAAAAGCTGGCACCTCCAAAACACTGATAAAGGGGGAGATGACCAACAAGTGTCATCATCCCAGCCTCAAGGCAAGCAGAAATCCCCCGGCAAGCCAGGTGCCTCCTGCTCACATTTTCTGTTATTCTCTGTTGCTTTGTGTTGCTTCGTTTATGAACTACGGGGTACTGTCTAATTCACAGAATTTACATGTATATTATTCAATGAGGAAAAGCATGGTTTCAAAGAGGTCAGGTTCATAAGGATGGTAAAGTGTCAGGAAAAAAAAGTGACAAGAAATTTAAAAAGTTGAAGTTAACAGAAATAACTCCCCTATTAACACAATTTCCAGAGATTCCCCATGTGCCCCGCATTATGGTCTGATTCTTCTCTGTGTGATTCTTTGAATAATCCCCCAGACATTCTAAGGTGTTGTATCTTGTGTAAGCATGCTGTTGTGCTTCATTTCTTCCCCCTCCAAATCTTGGATACAATTCCCCCATGTCTAATATGGGGGATCAATGGGTTGTGGCATCCTGAGCATGCGTGCTCAGCTCCCGAGTCATGGCTGACTCATTGCCACCCGTGGGCTGCCGTCTGCCAGGCTCCTGTGTCCATGGGATTTCCCAGACAAGAATACTGGAACAGGTTGCCATTTCCTTCTCCACAGGATCTTTCTGACCCAGGGATCAAACCTGTGTCTCCCCCACTGGCAGCTGGGTTCTTTACCATCTGAGTCCCCTGGGAAACCAGCCCTATAGTATCTGGTTAATGATGTGAAAGAGAAACTCTACCAGAACTTTGGAATGAAACTCCAGGTAAATCCGTGCTCAAGTGAGGCTGGTTTAGATGGAGATTTCCAGTCTCTCCACTTGAGTCACATCTTATCCTCAGACTCAGCCCTACCCAGAAGAACACTCAGGCCATGCCTGATGCATTTGTGATAAATCAGTTCACCGTCATCCAGGAACTGGGAAAGATTGAAGGCAGGAGGAGATGGGGATGACAGAGGATGAGATGGTTGGATGGCTCTGATTCAACGGACATGAGTTTGAGCAAACTCCGGGAAAGAGTGAAGGATAGAGGAGCCTGGCATGCTGTAGTCCGTGGGGTCACAAAGAGTTGGACACGACTGAGTGAGTCAACAACAACAATATACAGGAAACGACTCAACTCCCCCACGCTACCTTTACAAAAAGGACCAGGAAAATAAATAAATAAATAAGCCACACTTTTTTGCTGATAGTAGTATCTTTCTGGAGTAAATAAGCTGTATGGCTGCAGACTTGGTAACATGGAATGAAAATAGACATTGTCATGTCTACTCTAAGAGTCAGGTTTATGTCTGCTATTTCAAGGCCCTGTTTCTATAGAAGAGCATTCTCTGAGTCTTTATCTCTTAAATTCCCAAATACATGTCAAGTTCAAGGACAAGAAATGAGGTAGACCAAGTCTGACAGTCTTAGGATGACTCATAGTGTTTTCTTTCCCCATGTAAAAATGTTTGTGTTACAGGCAAACATTAGGAGGTTTTATTTTTTTCCATCTTATCTACAGTTTTGTTGGGTTGGTCATTTTAATGCAGAGAATATATGTCCTTTGCTGTTACATACATGAGAATAAAGAAAATTAAGAAACTATGGGGTGAGTGAAGGCTTTGTTCTGATTAGAGAGGAATGAAAAAGGAAACAAGCAAAAAAAACAAAAACTCACTAAACTTACATAACTGAATCTGAAAGTGTTTACCTCAGATTGGGACTCTAACCAATATGGGTGGGACTGAAACCAAGCCAAAACCCTGCTTGGGACTTGAACTCATGTGGCTGGGACTCAAATCCAGCCAAAACCCACAATACCTGGTGTCGAGACCTACTGGAACTCAGGTTCTTGATGTCTCATCGTGGAGAGAATTCAGTGAGAGACAAAGTGATAGGTAAGAAGTGAATTTATTCAGATACAGAGAGACGCACGCTTCACAGAGCGTAGGCCCTGGCAGAGGGTGAATGTGGCCATGAAATTTGGTGTGGGTAGTTTTTACAGGCTGGGTAATTTCGTATGCTAATGAGTGGGAGGATTATTCGAAGGGGTGGAGATTTCCAGGATTTGGGCCACCGCCTACTCCTTGGTCTTTTAACAGTTCCATGGAACTGTCATGGCACCTCTGGACGTGTCATTTCACTTGTTGATTGAGGATTAAGGTCTAGTCTTGTCTGTCACCTTGATCCCATTTGATTCTAATCGGTTTCTGTTGCATTCTTGTGCTAAGTCATCCTCTCAGAAGTTGTGCCCTGCTGCTTTCCCTCCTGTTACAAATCCAGAGTCTTGTAGTTAGTTAATCCTCAACTTCACTGGAGAACATCAGCTTTCTTCTACAAATGGGCAAAGAAGGTTTGGGTTTCTGTGAGTGCTAAGTAAACCAGCACATGTGACATGCTTAGCAAAGTGCCTGACACATAGTAGGTTCTCAGTCTCCCCACCCCGACCTGTCTCTGAAATTTAACTAGAATCAATTATAATCAATGAGAATGTTTCTTCTTTATCAAACCTGAATATCACATTACACCGAAAATCAGTTTCTTTATTTTTATCAGTTATTGATACAAGATGAAAGGTTACCTTCATGTATTTGAAAAACAGTCATAAGAAAATTTTTGGGTTTTTTACCCCTGTGACCAGTAATCTTATATTTAAATTTTGATTCATGCAGTTAGTAAACAAGCTGAAGACATTTATTCTGTGCAGTACACTGAACACTGAGAGTCATCTCACCTTCAGTTGTCCTCTCAACTTTGCATAATTCCTTCTACTGGAAAATTTAAAAACAAATATTACTCAGAACTCTAATCAACTATGAATACTTTTTTAAAAAAGTGAGTGAACTAATCCTTACCCATTTTTTCCCACTGCCAAAGAATTTAATTTGGCTATAGTTTCCATTATGGAGCATCATTTTCTTGTATTTCCTGTTTGTGATCAGATTTTTAATGAGCCATAAAAGAAAATAAGAAATAAGCAAGAAACAGGAGTAAACATAGAAAAGGAAATGTAAACAGATTGTAAGATAAAAGAATTAAGAAGATAAGGAAGTGGTTCTTTCCTCCTTCCCCCCTCCCTCCCTCCTCCCCTCCCCTCCTCCCGCCCTTTTCTCACAAAGCCCTCCGTCCACTGCAGGAGGCTCAGGAGGCCTCAGGTGGTCCAGAGCTCTGACCCTCACCTTTGTGACCTCAGACATGTTGCTGATCCATGACATGAATGTCTTAACCCCCAATAAACACAAACGTCCTCCAGGACTCCATGTGGGCTGTGTGTGTATATGATATAATCTTTCCCTTTCTCCCCAACTGAGGACTTCCTCTTCTGGGTCAGGTTTTAACACCTGAACATCAAGGCCAGGTCTCTGCTTAGCGTGTTGAGGGGTGTGATGCTGGGATGTGGGAGGACCCCCACAGTGAGTCTGTCACCGGTTTTACTCTGACGTGTTACCCTCTGCTAGACACTGTGTCTCCAACTAAGAATGTAGCAGTTGCCACAGGTCTGAAATATGGGCGAGAGCATGGCTCCCACAGCTGCCCTTCAGCCCTGGGCGGTCTGAGTGCAGACAGTCCCGGCCCCTTCTCTCCTCTGCACCTGTGGCGGCTGGTCCCCTCCCCGACACCAGCAGGCACTCAGGCTCGGAGAACACATCCCCTGTCCCTGCAGTTTCTACAGGGGAAGACCTCAAACCAGGGGCCACCTTATTTTACATTCTATTAAGTGTTGATGGAAGACGTCTCAGGTGGTGCTAGTGGTAACGAACCTGTCTGCCAGTGGAGGAGACGTAAGAGATGCGGGTTCAATCCCTGGGTTGGGAAGATCCCCTGGGGGAAAGGCATGGCAACCCAGTCCAGTATTCTTGCCTGGGAAATCCCTAGATGGAAGAGCCTGGTGGGCTATAGTCCATGGGGTCACAAAGAGTTAGACACGATTGAGACAACTTTACAGAAATCTCTGCAGGCGTATATTGAAGCATTAGTGCATGTTGATGGGGGTAGGGGGAGGAATTAATTTGTGTGTCCCAGGCTGTCCTAAACCCTCACACTCACATACAAAGACTTGAACTTCAGCCATTTCTACTGTAACATTTTCATAACGTAAAAATATAAGCAGGGAAACTAATTTTAGACTTTACATTGAAGAAGCTTATTATTAGGAAGCAGTTAAAAGGTATCAGCCTCATGTTAAAATTGCTGTAGAAGCCAATATGTTGCTCGATATTTTTTTGAAGCCTGGTGACCCAGAGCAGGAAGTGGAGCTCCTCAAGGCTGCAGGATTTCACACTGAGCCTTGGCTGTGAGGTTGTCATCCTACAAACTTCCCAAAACCACGAGGAGGAGTTCACCTTCTCTGCAGTCTGTTTCATTTATAAATGTTGTTGTTTAGTCAGCCATGTCTGACTCTCTGTGACCCCTTGGACTGCAGCCCACCAGGCTCCTCTGTCCCCCTGGGATTCCCCAGGTGAGCACCCTGGAGTGGGTTGCCATTCCCCCCTCCAGGGTTGTAACTGTAGAGCTGTGTATAAACTATGTGTGATGTGCTCCCCTCCACAGTGGTGAACTGCTCCGACCCAGGCTTGGTGGAAAACGCTGTTCGTCACGAGCACCAGAGCCTCCCCGAGGGTTTTGAGTATGGAGTGACTGTTGTATATCAGTGCAAGAGGGGCTTCTACCTGCTGGGATCTTCTGCCCTCACCTGCACGGCGAACGGCCTGTGGGATCGCTCTCTGCCCAAGTGTCTGGGTGAGTGGGGTCGTCTGGCCTTGAAAGAACACTGCCAACACAACATATGTAGTATTTTTTATACTATTCAAAAAGGTATTGATTTTTTATTCTCTCGACCTGACCCCATCACAAATCATATTAGTTTTTATGGTATCTTTAAGAGGGCAAAGAACCTGGTCAGCTCTGCCTGGACCCTACTGTCCCTGTGTCCACTCATCAGAGCTCGTTTCCTGCTTCAGCCCGGCAGGTGGGCAGATCCGCCGGTTCACCCAGGTGCCAGCAGCCTCCAGACTGTGCCTCTCGAAACAGACCTGCCTCCCTGGGGACCCAGGTTCAGAGATTCTGCAAACGGCTGTAGTAGGGAGTCTCCATCTATGGACCCAGTATCTGTGGCCGGAAGCGTGGAGCACTCTGGGGGCCTCATTTGTCTCATCAGCTCTTCCGGGACAGTCCAGTGTGAGCCTGATAAAGAAGATGGCATCTTGGTCGGCACTTCCTCCTGACCCTTAGGTTTAACTAAGAGGAAGAGCGGGGTGCTGCTCCAGGCAGACAGAATTACAGGTCATGGCTCTAGCTTCCCAGAAAAGGTTATTAACAGTATGCAGATGATCAGGGGCATTTTCTTTTTCACCCACTAGCTATAATATTGCTTTCTTTCCCTTGAAATAGCATATTGTCCTTGAGTTTAAAGAGAATTGTCTTGTGTCTTTTTAAAACAGAGTCTGAAAATGAAGGAAAAGGAGTCACTCTCCTTGGTCTTTTAAAAATCAGAAACAAAACCATTCTTAAAATCAATATCTTTTTAGTATTCATTTTTCATGCATACAGAAAACGGGAAATGACAACATTGTAAATTGAAATAACGGTGATAGTCCATTTTAGCCTTCATGATTACAGCGTTTTCAGTACATTTTCAGAGTGGACTGGTGCTGGAGACTTTTTTCCTGCAAGTCAAGGTCCCTCAAAGCCCTTTGTATCTTCCTGGAAACCTGTGTCAAATTCTAAGTGTAATAATACAGTTAATTCTTATGGAGAAAGAGAATGATGACTTTCAAAAACAAATGTACAGGCTTATATGACCAATAAAAAAAATCTATAAATATGTTACAATTCTCATCAAATTTTATGTGTTCTGGTTTTCCGTGCCTTCACACATGGGAATTTTTCAGGGAAATTAATTTTATTTTCTCCCCAAAGATTTGCTGAGCCTCTTCCCCAGCATCCCCAAGACTTCCATTAGTGGTTGTGATGATACCCCTGTGCCCCAGACCTCCAGGAACCAGCTTTTCACTGATGTCATTTTCTGAATTGATGAGTTCCCACTGCTGTTATTATTAACCGCTGGAGTTATGGGAACTTGGGAACACATGCTCTCCAAGGAGTGCTTTTTTACCACAGACTCTGCAGCGACTGACCACCCTCTCTATTTGTGATGTTGTATGGTTTACTGATTTTTTTATCTTTTATTTCACTGGAACTGATCATCCACCAAGCATGTCACTGATTCAGCGCTAGTTAGCTTCTTTTTAGGACTCTAGATAAACTCCTGTTCTCTGATGAGTGGTTGTCAGGATGAGAGGGTGTCAGGGGAGGGCGAGTGTGACTCGGGGGGCACTGGGGCCTTTCTGAAACCTGCCTCTCTAGTTGGTGTCACTCTGCAGTTGCTGATGACCAAATGCAATCTCTCTTGGATGTTAAATCAGCTCCCTTTGGATCATTTCTGGCACCCTCAGTCCAGTTGATAGCTTCCAGTGAACGATGTTGAATTCGTGATCTCCGAAGGAGAAGATTCTGCTTCAGAACCAAGGACTAGGCTTGATCACTCAAGAGATTTTGTATAGCAGAGTTTTATTAAAGTATTAAAAGGGGACAGAGAGTGCCTCTGACATAGACATCAGCAGGGGGACAGAGAGTGCCCCACTTGCTAGTCTTAGGAAAGGGCGTTATATACATTTTTAATTGGTTATTACAATAAATCAAAAGAATGTTTCAAGTTTGTAAAAATCTTACTAGGCCCACTCCCACAATTTACATTTTAAGATAACAAGATTAGTCAGGAGGTTTTCAAGAAGGAGAAAGTGTCCTCCAGCAGGATACATTATTGTTATGTAATCCTTAGTATAGAGTTTAAACTGCATTGTTTGTTGCCTAACCACCAGTTCCAGGCTTAAAGAAAAAACCATTTTATTTCCTATGACTAAGACTAAGGAATGTAGAGGGAAAAAAAAAAAAAAAAAGATGTTTGTCCTTTCTTCTTCCTTGAGAATTCCAGGCCCCTCTCTCGGAGAGAGGGGCTTTCTTATCAACCTGCCTCCCATTCCTCCCTTTTCTTTTAGGAGAGTTTTTTTGCCAACGGAAAGGGGCATTGTTTTCAATTCATGACTACTTCCTGCTGTTTAGAGGTGCCATCCCTAAATTGTTGAGGCAGCATATTCTCCTAACCCTCATACTGGGGGTCTTAGATCCAGGGGCCCCAAGTGGTAGTTGAAGGAGGTTGTGGCACTTGTAGGATCCTGGACAGTCATTTGTCATTTAAGAACTCAGACAGTTAGAAACAAACCCCATGATACAGGTCTAGATATAAGGCAACATAGTCATTAAACCAAGTTAAAACAGAATCAAAACTAAAAGTCACATTATGTCCATAGTTACATCCATCCATCTTAGGATTGTTGGATGTCATTGCAGACTTGAGGAAAGTCCTTTCCTTGATGAGGAGAAACCCACCTTGTTAAGCCTTCAATTGATGAGCAGGAGAGTGCTCCACAGACCCAGTAATTAGACCAGTTGTAAAATGCAGCGTAGGAATGAGCCCAGGACTAGAAGGCATTGTCTTGAGGGTCAAACAGCAGACTCAGGATTTTGGAGTCAGCAGAAGCAAGCCAGCATATATTCTCAGGCCCATCTAGGTTCCCGGCTCAACCAGTGGCTTATTTGACTCGAAGGCTGGGTCAGGAGTTAATCTCCTGGAAAAGTCTGCTGAAAAGCTAAAAGCTGAGACACATAGTTAATTCTAAGGCTTCCAGATCTATGACCATATCTGTGCACAAAAAACAGTCTGTCACAGAGACACTCCCTTCTTCTTAGGGGCAGCTCAAGCCCTCATTAAAGCTATGGGTAAAACTTTAAACCAACAGTCTTGTGTTTCCCGAGTTACCTTATTCAGATGCCTCAATAATGTCACTAGCCTTTTAACTTTTTCTGAAAGTTGGGGTCTCCAGGAACACTGTAAGTGATATTCTATTCTTAGAGCTTTTGAGACCCCTTGAGTTACAGCAGCTTTAACGATGGAGCCATTCTTGCTCTGAACTTTAGAGTTTAAGAACCCACTTACATCATGAGAAGTCAGTACAGCAAGATTTTGTCCATTAGTAAACTTATGAGCTTTAGTCATTAGCAAACAATAGTAGCAATTACCCTTAAGCAATGTGGCCACAGCCTTTTTTCAGTAACAAACTGAACTCTGATCCTGTGGGCAGGCTCAAATCAGGAGCCTGCAAGAGAGCAGTTTGTAGAGCCTTAAAAGCCTTTTGATCCTCTGGGGACAAAACCAGCTTGTTTGGGCCTGCTGAGTTTCAGTTAAAAGTTTATATAAAAGTCCAGCAAGTTCCCCATAACCCAGAATCAAAATGCAGCAATAGCCTGTAATGCCCAAGAATCCTCTCAATTGTCTTAATGTCATAAATAGAGGATGATTTAGTATAGGTTTAACTCTGGAAAGCAACCTTCAAATCAGTGACTGAAATATATTTGGCTCATTCAGGAACTTCAGACAATCAGGTATAAGGATCAGGCACTTATTATTTGTATATCTTAAATTAGTCTCTATTTATCATTTGATATTTTTACATCCAAAATAGCAGTGTTATATGGACTATTACAGAGAATTAATAGCCCCTGTTCCTTTAAATTTTCAATGATGGGTTTTAACCCTTCCTTAATACCTCAGACTTTAGTGGATACTGCTTTTGATATGGAAATCAGTGAGGGTCATTGAGCTTGATAACAACCAGAACAGCATTTTGTGCTTGACCCACAGTTTTTCTATCAGCCCACACTTTAGGATTTACATTTTGTTCAGTTAAAAAGAATGGGTTCCATATTTATGAAAACAGAGGCCTGGACGTTGTTCAGCATATCCCTCCCCAGAAGGGGTGAGAGAAACTCCCAACACAATTAAAAACTCAAGAAAATAGCACAAAGTCCCAGTTGCAACTTAAAGGATGACTGACATAATAGTGTTGGCTCGTCCTGACAGCCCCATTACAGTAGTGGGTCATGAGGAAAGCGGACCGGGGGCTTCCGTGAGCACAAAGAAAGTGGCCCCAGGGTCCAAAAGAAAGTCAACTGATTGGCCCCCACAGTTACTAATACCCGGGGTTCCTCAGGTGTAATTAGGAAGGGGGCTTGTGTGGAGACCCCTTGACACCTTCAGTCCCAACTGTCTTGAATGTCCGACCTCTGGGGCTAAACCTCAGAGGGCAGTCTCTTCTCCAGTGTGGTCCTTTGCAGGCCGGATACAGAGCTGGGGTTGGCTCAGATGCCTGAGGGCAATCCCACTTGAGATGCCCCTCCTTCCTACAGTAATAACAAGTCCGTCCCTTTTCACCTGGGTCCCTCTGGGCATTTTTCCTCAAGCTGTTTCAAAGCAGGTCTAACAGCCATTGTTGGAGCTTCAGTCTTTGGCCTGGTTCTTTTTTCTTCCTATTTTCTTCCTCATATTTTCTACCATAATACACGGTCTGAGCCAGCTGCAAGTTTTTTTAAAGACTGATTTGATCCAGACACCTGTTTTTGTAGCTTACAGCAGGTAGCTAGAGCTGACTGAGTGAGAAATCTATCTTTTAAGATCATTTCTCCCTCTGTACTTTCAGGATCAACATTAGTTTTCATTCCTATCCCAAAGAAAGGCAATGCCAAAGAGTGTTCAAACTACCACACAATTGCACTCATCTCACACACTAGTTAAGTAATGCTCAAAATTCTCCAAGCCAGGATTCAACAGTACATGAACTATGAACTTCTAGATGTTCAAGCTGGTTTTAGAAAAGGCAGAGGAACCAGAAATCAAACTGCCAACATCTGCTGGAGCATCGAAAAAGCAAGAGAGTTCCAGAAAAATATCTATTTCTGCCTTATTGACTATGCCAAAGCCTTTGACTGTGTGGATCACAATAAACTGTGGAAAATTCTGAAAGAGATGGGAATACCAGACCACCTGACCTGCCTCTTGAGAAACCTGTATGCAGGTCAGGAAGCAACAGTTAGAACTGGACATGGAACAACAGCCTGGTTCCAAATAGGAAAAGGAGTACGTCAAGGCTGTATATTGTCACCCTGCTTATTTAACTTATATGCAGAGTACATCATAAGAAACTCTAGGCTGGATGAAGCACAAGCCAGAATCAACATTGCTGGGATAAATATCAATAACCTCAAATATGCAGATGATACCACCCTTATGGCAGAAAGTGAAGAAGAACTGAAGGGCCTATTGATGAAAGTGAAAGAAGAGAGTGAAAAAGTTGGCTTAAAGTTCAAGATTCAGAAAACTAAGATCATGGCATCTGATCCCAACACTTCATGGCAAATAGTTGGGGAAACAATGGAAACAGTAGCGGACTTTATTTTTCCGGGCTCCAAAATCACTGCGGATGGTGATTGCAGCCATGAAATTAAAAGACACTTGCTCCTTGGAAGGAAAGTTATGACCAACCTAGACAGCATATTAAAAGGCAGAGACATTAATTTGCCAACAAATATTCATCTAGTCAAAGCTATGGTTTTTCCAGTAGTCATGTATGGATGTGAGAGTTGGACTATAAAGAAGGCTGAGCACAGAAGAATTGATGCTTTTGAACTGTGGTGTTGGAGAATACTCTTGAGAGTCCCTTGGACTGCAAGGAGATCCAACCAGTCCATCTTAAAGGAGATCAGTCCTGGGTGTTCATTGGAAAGACTGATGTTTAAACTGAAACTCCAATACTTTGGCCACCTGATGGGAAGAACTGACTCATTGGAAAAGACCCTGATGCTGGGAGAAATTGAGGGCAGGAGGAGAAGTGGACAGCAGAGGATGAGATGGTTGGATGGCATCACCGGACTCAACGGACATGAGTTTGAGTAAACTCTGGGAGTTGTTGATGGACAGGGAGGCCTGGTGTGCTGTGATTCATGGGGTCACAGAGTCAGACACGCCTGAGCGACTGAACTGAACTGAAGGGAAGATGGAAAAATTTAGGTAGATGACTTTCTTTTTGAAAATCTCAATGTCAATTTCTACCTTCAGCACAGCTACATTAATAAAAAAAACAAACAAATAATAACAAAGTTTCACTGACGGACCCTTCCTGGTCTTCAGTAATGTGTGAGGGAGGGTCATCTGGAAGTTGACGCTTCTCATCCACAGGGTACCAGGGATGTGTTTCTGTTAATAGGTGGTGATTGTATGAGTCTCTGTAGTACAGTGACTAACACAGAGCAACTTAACAGGAACAGTGTACTTACTGATTATTTTCTTTTTTTTCAAGTGATCTCATGTGGACACCCCGGCGTCCCTGCCAACGCCATACTCACAGGAGACCTGTTCACGTATGGGGCCGTGGTCCACTACTCGTGCCGAGGGAGCCGCAGTCTCGTGGGCAACAGCAGCAGAACCTGCCAGGAGGACAGTCACTGGAGCGGAGCCCTGCCCCACTGCACAGGTGAGCTGGCGCGGGCAGGTCGTCCGTCATGCGAAACACGGACTGGGGCTCCCATCTCTAAAGTGGTTACTAACCCACTCCAGCCACACATGCCCCTAGATATACCACCGGCATCTTGGGCTTATTCTTCTCTTTAAATGCCTGTCCCAGCACGGTTTTTCCTGCTGGAGCCCCGGGAGCCTCCCCACCCCTGATCAGAAAGCCTGCTCGCCTCGACTCAGCTTGCTCACTTTTCTTTCCTTCTGCTTCCTCTCAGTTCTTTCACATCTTTCCTACCCCCACCATCAACAATCACATCGGTCCTGTTTGGAAAAGAAATCATCTTAATTCTTCCAGGAATGTTTCATAATAAAACTCAGTGGATCACACCTCTTATTTGATTTTTTTATTCCCAACACACCTTCCCCCATCTCCTTGTGGGCATCCTCACCAGCATTTCCAATGAGCAATTCCTGCACTCATTGCCCTAGTGTTTTATTTCTCCCAAAGAATATCAATTATTGTCACTACCATATTTTAATAAACTATTTTGATTTTAGTTACATGGAAACAATTTATTAGAGTCTTCTGCTTTTGTGCTGTAATAAAGAAAATCTTTCTCACAGGATTTCTAGAATGTTATGACTGTGATCATGTTTGATATACATTTACATAAAGTTTCATTCTCTTTAAACATAACAGCCCTGTTTTAAACAGCATCATCTATTGCCATGTGTTTGTGTTTTGCAGGAAATAACCCTGGATTTTGCGGTGATCCAGGGACCCCAGCCCATGGGTCTCGACTTGGAGAAGAGTTTAAGGCCAAGAGCCTCCTCCGCTTCTCCTGTGAAATGGGCTACCAGCTTCGGGGCTCGGCCGAGCGGACGTGTCTGCTCAACGGGTCCTGGTCAGGACAGCAGCCCGTGTGTGAGGGTGAGTGGGTCCCAGCCTCAGAGTTGGCGCTGCAGGTGGAAACCGGGTAGCTCTCTGAAATGACCAAAGATGTTCCACAAAATCCTTCAGCTTTACACTTTTTTATGTTTATACAGTTAACTAATCTATCCCCACCCCCAAGCGTATTAGAGAATCATCAGGAAGCATGATTGGGCAAATGGAGGCACTCTGACTGATCAAAAGAAGCTAGAACACCGCCCTTGCCCTCTGACAGTCCCGGTCTGGGGGAGGTGTCTGTCTGTCTGCTCCTGGTGACATCTCCGAGTGGCTCTGCAGTGTGTCCCGGTCTAGGGAGACGTCTGTCCTCGCCTGGTGACCGTCTCTGTGTGGCTGTCAGTATGTTATGGCTGGTGGGGCTGAGAACGCAGGTGAAGTGGCTGTGAGCGGGGCAGGTCCTGACGGGGGCTCCCTGCTGCTGGAAGTCATTCCGCTCACACATTATTTCATCTATTGGTGGCCCTTGTCTTAGTTTCTTGCAAACTTAAACAGTGAAAAAAGTAAAGCAGTTGAGTGTCAGTCATGTTTTCCATAGAAATCTCAGTCTGTTGCGGGGGTACTACACTATGAGTTCTTTCCCAACAAAATATAAGTGAATTCACTTATTTGATTAGGAGAGCTTAACTAAATTTTACTTCATGATGTACTTATCCCAGACTATGCAAAGTGCTTATTAAATAGCATTTAGTTTAGGAAAATGTTATCACTGACTCACTGGACATGAGTTTGAACAAACTTCAGGAGTTAGTGAAGGACAGGGAAGCCTGGCATACTGCAGTCTATGGGGTCACAAGGATACGACTTAGCTACTTAATAACAGTTTAGCAAAAGTCAGAAATTCAAATGGTTCCTATAAAATCCTTTTAAACTTTTTGCTTAAAATCTATATATAAAAAGAAGTTACTAAAATGTTTCAATACTAAAAATATTTATCAAAAATGCAGTGGTCCACAAAATTGGCTACTTCCAAATTGTACTGTACAGAAATCATTGGAAGTCAAGTGAGTGATAGTTCAGTTACACTCAGGAACACCACAAATGATGTCTCAGAATAAATGACTAACCCCCTTCCTGCTTCCATGTACACATTTCACAACTCTTAAAGCTGTGGAGAATCTATTGCTTTCTGTTTTTTCTTACTTGCTGACACAGGTACACATCTTTGGGGCACATATTATTTTCTGTAGAAAGTGGGATTATCAGCAACTTTTCCATTGCCACAAAGGTTATCCATGACCTATGTATTCAATCCCTTGACTAAGGTCTTGCCCCTTCTGATGGATTTACCTTCTCTGAATCTATTTTAAAAAACATTAGATCTTGATGGACATTTCAATAAATTTTATTTTTTTCCATTTATTTTCATTAGTTGGAGGCTAATTACTTTACATCATTGCAGTAGTTTTTGTCATACATTGAAATGAATTAGCCATGGATTTACATGTATTCCCCATCCCGGTCCCCCCTCCCACCTCCCTCTCCACCCGATCCCTCTGGGTCTTCCCAGTGCACCAGGCC